AAGGATGACTGTAGCGCAATGGTAGGTCTCTCAGTTGGGAAGCGATAGTTTGGGTTCGGTCCCTGCAAGTGCAGAAATCTTTGCTCCGTCGCCTATTAAAGCTTTCATGCTCATTTTTGACATTCTTCCGGGGTAGCGTTTCATCAGCGCGAGCAGGTCGAGTACTTGAATGACCCTCGTCAAATAAAGGATTCAGCAGTGCAAATGATGCACATTCAAGAACCACGCTGTTTCGCCTGCACAGACAGTCCCAGCGGTGCCGTTAAATTCATTGGAAGGTGTGCGACAGCAGCTCAGAATATGTTCGCAGGAGGCTCGGCGAGGGGAGGGAGCTTTTTGCACTTTCGCTACTTCCATCGACGTGTCGAGTCACCTAGAGAGCCAGTTCGTGAGCTTACACGAGATGAGGTTTAACATGGTTGCTCGACGAGCTTGCTCCAGCTTCACAAAAGCTCACAGGTTTCACAGTAGTGAGACTTGTAAAGGAACTAGTGAAGCAGCGAAAGTGCAAATTACCCCCCCCCCTCGTCGCCGAACTGCGCTTGCAGCAGCTATGCATCATTGCCCTTCCAACATTTAGGCGTTTCCTTGTTCTGCGATCGTATAAATATCGTTACGAAACGGATCAGACATCGCACAATGGGAAGCTTTGTGAACGCCACCATTACCTTCCTCTTGAATGAAAAATTTTTAATGTTTTACTATAGTTAGTTTCACCATGGTTTCGACTCAGCTAAAAATTCTGCTATTGATGTCACACGCCGTTTACCGTAAAAATGCGTGGCGTCCACGCTACAGTCGTTCTGATGACCAGTTCACAACAAATATTGGGAGTTTTCCTGCCCATAACTCGCCGGTGGAAGGCAGGCAGCAATTTTGGTTTCTATAATTTTAAACAGCATTGCAGATCCCATAAAGGCACCTACACAGCACTCCAGATTCCATCAAGATACCTACGTCTCTATTCAAAGTTCCGTGGTAATTTGAGAACTGCCCTTGCAAGTACGCGCAGCGTGCTCGGCCTTAGGACTGTTAGGGCTACATTTTATAGCTTGAGACAGAATCCAATATCTTGAACATTGGCCTGTACTAATTTCTTGAGCGTGATGCGATGTAGGTCTGTATTTACACTTGGCGTCAGCGTACGGCAGTGTTTCGAGCGTAAGCCAGCGGCGATTAGGAGAGCAGATATCGATCTAGCGAACGCCAGCGTCCGTCAGCGTCCACCAGCGTCTTGAGAGACTAAGGAAGGATAGATGAGAGATGTAAGGAAGGATAGATTCATAGTGCGAACGCGTACGAATGTGCGACCCGCCACGCCGATCCGGCCCGCGTCCCACATTCAGCGTAATGCTAGCGCAAACAGCGTCATACGAGGCAGCTATTCGTACGCCGGTATACGCTGGCGTGCGCTGACGCATGACCTTGACGAAATGAAATCGATGAACAAAAATGATGAAATCAGAAAAAGTTTCTCAGAAACGGCCCAGGAAGGCGCAGGGTTCTCGTCGAAGACAAGCCCCGCCAAACTCATAGCCGTTAAATGACTTTCCAGGGAAGAGCAAACAAAAGAAATCATGTAGAATACCTCAAGCAACGACGCTCGCGAAGTTTCGTTGTACGAGTTCAGCGTACCTGCTAGTTTCATGACAAAAAGCGATATTCTGCCGCCTCTGGCTCACTAATCGCTTCTTCGCGCCATCCAATGCCAATACCATATAACAGTGAATAAAACGAAAAACACCGAGTAAAAGCTGAGCGCTGCAGGAAATGGCGTTTGCGTCCGGTGGGCGAGACAAAAAGGCAGCCTCTCATGAAAGCCACAGCGCCATCGTTACTTACTATAAATCCGCGAAAACGAACAATCATGGAGACTCTCTGGATCATCTGGATCAGGCAATTTGAAGAAGGAATAACGCCTACGAATGGGTCGAGCGCGGCGAGTGTTTGAAACATGGATGCTTGTGATAACGATGCACAAGATGCCTAACTCACGGATAATAGGATGGTAACCATGGTTGCGCAAAGTTTCACAAACGGAGAAGCACAACAAGGCTAACAACATTCGTGACAATCATAAAAATTCAGCGCGTCAAATAAAAAAAAGAGACAGGCTGAAGGGTTTGTGAACAGCAAGAAGTTGTCACGGGGTAGTGAGGAACTAAGCAGAAAACTTACTGATAATTCGTCCTCAGTCAATTCAGTGACTTCACCAGGATACCCTACCCAGGTAACTCTATAGAGAGGTTCATCATCGACAATAACATGAGAAATGATGGCTTCGACTTCGTAAACATCTAAAACATGGAAAATTCTTTTGAAAAGAGGTTAGACGAACTCAGGACAAGTTATTAGCAGATGAAACACCTCACGACCTTCTTGTTTCTTCTTGGGTGCTGCAACTTTTTTGATGTTTTCAGATGCTTTGATCAAAGATGCTCGTCGCGGACGTGAACTTGACGAATTCGACTCTGGGGTATCCTCCCTCATTCTGAAACAATTTCGTTGAACTTCTAATTATTGGACTCAGCAAGCATCAACACGGCAGACACTTTGACGTTGGAAACGGAAAAAAAGAGGTGCAGTTTGGCGACAGGGGCATGTCACACTTTCGCTGCTGAAGCTGCAGCAATCTTGTCCAGCCAACATGGTAAAACCTGTCAACTCTTGTATGCTCATGAAATAGTTCTCTAGAGGCTCGAAACGTCGATGGAAAGTAGCAAAAGTGCAATATGCTCCCTCCCTCCCCTCCCCCCCCCTTTTTTTTCCCGTTGCCGAACTGCCTGAAAAAACTTGAATGAATAGGAACAGAGTGAGTATGGAAAAAATGATCACAAAAAAGGTAGGAGATGAAGGAGAAAGAATCTAACGTCCTTCGAAACTAACCGCACACTCAGGCAGGAAAGGAAGAGATACTTCAAAAATATAGAAAAATTAGGATGAAATAATAATAAAATATACAGAATTATAAAAATGGAAAAAATGCTTACGACACTCCTCACAACACTCGCACGCCTCTTGCTGTTGCAATCTGTATTAGAGCTTAAAGTATATATTCTGTGGCGCTACAGAACGATTTGGCTCCCAGTCACAGTTCGGCTAGGGGGGGGGCGCATCATGCACGTTCGCCGCTTTCACGTAGTTCGTCCTCACACGCTTCTCGCTTCCCGTGAAATCTGTGAACACTAGGTGCTAGCCTCGCCAGCATCCTCATCAGCACCATGGTAACATGGCCATCATGCTTTACAGACGGATTACGACCGGTCACACACGCACCGCACTCGCCCACCTCACTCACTCTCTCACTCGGCGCCCTTCACAAGAATCACACATTATCAAAGACACCAAACTTGATGGCCTCGCATGGGTCTATGAGAAGTAGAAAAGCTTCGCGAAAAAACGCCCCCCCCCCCCTTCGCAAGCCATCTTGTCGATTGCCAGAGATAAGCAAGTATCAAGCAGGTACAAACACATTGGAACGAAGCTCTTACTCTTTGTTCTGAGACGCTGCGTCCGTACCAGGCAATCGTCACAGCTCACGACAGCATTTGCCACAAAACCATATCACTGATTTGCCGTCGGCCACCCAAAATAGCGGCACCATGTTCGCAGGGCACCCTCACCACACTCGTTTCTCGGATAACTTTTTCGGGGCGTCCCGACCCAATCCTTTCATAAGATGGCCTAGCCCAACTTAATAGCGTGGAGACGGGCAGGATTAAACCTTGAGTATGCAGTAAACCGAGCTTCAAATGTCCGTACGGCCGATCTCAGTGTGCGATTCTCTAGTGATTTGTCTACACTGGACTTCAGTAAAAACTAATACGAAATTCAAGCCGAAGGATCCGTGACCGCAACAAACGAGAGGACCCCCCCCCCCCTGGGGGCAGCCCCACTGACTAGTTCTCAGGAACTGCCTGTCCATGCCAGCGAAGCGATATCCTGCCGCCCCGGCTCATTATCACCAAAACTTCAGCAATTGATAAGTACCATCTTACACTGAAAAAAGAAAAACACGGTTCAAAAACTGTACTGGCAGAAACCCTTCGAGTTTTGGTGGGCGGTACAACGGGAGGCGTCACAACTGACACTTATTTAATGAGGGTCGCAGCGCCTTCGTTACTTACTGTGAAACCGCGAAAGTAAGACAAACTTAGCGATTAAGGACCTGACTGTATTTGAGCGCGGGGACTTGCTTCAATAAACCCTCAGTCTCTAGCACCCACAAAAAGCGTCAACCTCCGCAAAATTCGAGGAACCCTCCAATCTCATCCCTAGGTTCGCCCATGTTCTTTCGCGCTTTTTGTGCTCTGCCTGCCGCTAGGAAGAGGATGGTCGTTTGCCGTCCCCTTTGACCACATTGCCATTGACGTGTCAGGGCAAATATTGGTTGAAGGTCTACACAAAACCCGGCCGTAAACGATGGTTTCGATGCTCCTGCTTCTCGAGTAAGACGTCGAATAATTAGCGTTTTGCAAGACCAGTAGTCCAAAGCTTCACACTTCTTCTGCCAGAAAGACGTCTGCCTTGCCTATGAAAACATGTAGATGAAGTCGACGAAGTCACAGACACCCCCAGTCACGTTCCTTTTTCGCCTCTATTCTTCAGTGCGTGGTGAGGGCGGGACCAACAGAACTGGATCCAATTCTTTCCACTGATTCTTGAATTGTCCAAAACGCAGAAAAGTTAATTAACATCTAGCGGCTTAGGTGTCCACTTGATTTCCTGTGCATGGTCCTTTTTGAGCATCCGTCGCAAAATTTCTTTAGAGCGCGTTTATACTTCGCGATCTGCGTAAGCCAGCGTTCAGACTTCGCGACGGCAGCGCTTCAGTCGCGCGTTCGACGCGATCGATGCGCATGCTTTCGACTGCATCGATCGCGTCGAACGCGCGACCGAAGCGCTGCCGTCGCGAAGTCTGAACGCTGCCTAAGAGCGCGTTATACTTCGCGATCGCGCAATCCGGTCGGATGATCCGATCGCGTAGTTGTCAATGCGCTCTTACGTAGACTAGACTATCAGAAGTGAGAAGCGAACTTTCATCAAACACCTCTGTTTTTAGAAGAATTCGAGAAGTTGCAAAAAGAAATAGATCCAGTTTTATTTATTGCACCTTCGCCTCATATCGAAGGGTAGAGGCGACAAAGAAACGACAATATACCAATCATCAGAATGTGAGGATGGCAAAAAGGATTGTATAGGTTGGTAAGGAAAGTCCTGTCAGTGTTTT